TTGTGGGAATAACATTTAAATTAACGTAAAGTTTAAAACATAATCACGGGAAACAAACTATAGAAACCTTGATTAAACCGAACACGTCTGTACTATCAGGTGACTCGTAATTATTCGCATCATTAGCTCCACCGATTGATGAGTTTATATAGTATTCAATTATTGTTGTTGTAATAGTACAAGGTTTGTCTCTTGATATAGGCCACAACTCCGCCATAGCTCCGGAAAGTTATCGACAATCGAGTGGTATATTTCTTGGTTCACTTACACCCGTGATAAAAAAGAGGTCACGTTAGAGAGAGTAAGAATTAGACTTTCGCATTATAATAAATAAAATATTTTACTTACTCTTAAAAACTAAAGTGGAATCAGAATACTGTACAATTTAATAATTCTCGTGAGCTTCTAAATAATCCATATTTATGCTATGTGGGCGCTCTCGGAGTTGGTGGCCGCACCAGCAAGGGCAGCCTAGCACGCGAAACAGCCATGACCCCTAAAAGAGGATATTCTCTTGCATTGAGAAAAGAATAATTCGTTCTCCCCCCCCCCCCTTCGGCTTTCGTCTCTGTGATCTCCTCCGTCCTGTCAACTAAATGACAGTCTAAATCATTTAAAATATCGAAATTGAGAAAAGTTCTTGGAGAAGTAAAAGGATCTGCGGCTTTAACTCGATAAAATATTTTACCTAATTTGGAAATGTTAGATATTCTCATTAAAGGGTATTTTTTTCACACAAAGCGTTTCTTTTTGAAGAACGATTAAAGCAAAGTCCATCATGTGATCAATTCACTTAAATTTTTAGCGCACCTATTAATGGTCTTAATGATTTATAAGGTCAGAATAAGGATATGAAGGACAAGATTATATGTAAAATTACTACCTCGACATTTTTAATTAGACATTGATTTTCTTGTAATATTTATTTTTCATATCTTATGTCGGATTTTTTGCCGGGTTGTTGTGAATAGATCACATGATGGACTACTCTTTAAAAAGTTCCGGATCATGTGTTTCTTAAGGGGTAAGCCAATCAAATCGTAAGATATGAAATTTTAATTGCATTTTTTATTAAGGTTAGGATTAGAGTCAGAGTTAAGATTATTGCACAAGAGTGTATAGCAAGGAACATTTTTTGGTTGAACACAGAAAGTCAGTTTCATGGCGAAATTTCGAGATAGAAGCTATTTTTCAGTTTTTACATTGTTTTGTAATATTGAACAAGTTATATCTACAATACCAATACTCTATTGTTTTTAATACCCGTTAGTTAACCTGGTGGGTTTTGGCGATAAAACGGTCAGGGGCATGTAATTTTTTAAGGGTAAACCAATCAAATCGCAAAGTCAATGTGTAACGGAAAAATCGAAATTACTACTTTCTGTGTTCCTAACAAAAAAATTTTAACTCTTGCGGTTTATCAATATTTAATATCTTGCGGTTTAATTGGTTTACTTCTTGATAAATTACATGAACCGTAATACGCTTCTAACCATTACGGATCAATACCGTGAATTTTTTCTGGCTATACTGGAACAAGTGCACCTCAAATAACGACAAGATTTATCGGTCAATAAGCAAATGTTTAGTGAATGTCATTTCCACTTTTATTTCAAAGCATTTATAACAAATAAATATGGAGATAACGAACTTAAAATTTTATATTTTATATTTGTATAACTGACTTTTTAGCAGAATCACCAGTTCTTTATAGAGAGAGTTGACTGGACTAATAATTTAGATTTATATACATATATTATATATCTCCGAAAATAAGCAACTCCCACTATTGTGAACATAAAATATACGAAATGATAAATATCGAATATAAGCCACCCTTTAAAATTTTATAATATCTATTATTCAATAAATACAAACATTATATTATCAATTAAAAAGTTAAACCTTTAATGTGTATTTTTAACTTCAAACTCTCATATTTTTCTCAAGTGTTCCCTACATGATAGACTTTAAAATGTAAGTATTTATATGTCATAGATACACAAATCACTTTATACTCAAAATATAAGATTTTCGGAGATATAATGTGACTAAATTGATTTATAAGAATCAAAAGTACAATTTTTGACTAATATATTCCGATATTACGTAATAGTGATATTTTCTCGGAAAAAGATTCTGATAGTAAATCTGAGAAAATATCAATGCGTAGTATTACGGGTGAACAATTAGGAAAACTTCTTCATTTAAGCCAAGATATATTATATCCAACGATATTATCAAAGAAGGACTGGCAATCCTTTTAGATTCGAGACAAGAAATTCTTCTTCGGTTGGAAAGTGCTTAGCTCAAAAAGAAGAAACTGAAAAACTATATATAAAAACACCGTAATTCACCGTGCAAAATACCCCCAGGACTTACGGGCAAAGTTAAACAATAAAAAAAGTGTTTAAAAAAAAGGAGGGAAGATATACTATAAGGGGAATAGGGGCAATCTCATGTTTGTAACATCTGCATGTATCAGCATTAAACATCCGGAATTTCCCAATTCAGCAATGTATTAAAGAGAAACAAGAAAATGAACATTACAAGAGTATTATACACTATAATATTACCAAAAGAGTCTGCTACTTTATTTAGATGAAGTTGAGTAAATTATTCTTGTAGTTCAGCTAAAGAAAACAGTTGTTCAAAAGCATTTTCTATAAAAAATTTGTATCCACAAATTATTTTTAACATGCTATATTTGCATGTGCCATGACGACTACAGCGCAACATTTAGTTTAAGGATATATGGGGGCAGCCGTCAATAGAAATCAAGCAGATTTATTAGAGTAATCTGCTTGATTATTTGCCTATAACCCTTTTCCGATTCGATCTGTTTTGTACATTTACATATTAAAATATTACGTATTATTATCACGGAACGGAATGAAAGAATAAGACCGAAATATAGTTTCAATTGATGATTTTTTTTATTATTGTGTGAAGTATAAAGTCAAGAAAAGATAATGGCAAGTTTCTTATTACATGTATCCATGCAAAATAGATTAGGCAGTGAAGCAGAAGATTTCTCACGACCTAACACCACACGCGGATTGTTTTCTTTTCTGATCTGCAAAAAGCAATTATTGTGCGCGAAATCTGCGCAAATGATTTTTTACGTTTGCGCATTATCTCTAAAAAATTATTGCGCAAACAATCACCAATCTGCGATGCGCAGGTCAATTTTAAACAATGCCGTAAAGTCCCGAGAATAAGCAACCCCCTACATCATCAATTTTGGACCGAATTTTAAGGGGAATGCTTATTTTCGGGCCCTTTCCAAATGTTTAAACTTATTGATTTGTTACGAACATGACGAGGGAGTTAAAGGAATCGATGCTACAAGGGTGTCGAATCCAGATCTCCATATAATAAATATTGTTTGTCTTCGCTATTTTTTGGGGGGAATGATTATTAAAAAGAGGTTGCTTATTTTCAGGATTTTACTGTAAGCCAAAAAATAACTTTCTTATACACTCGGTACACGAACTTAAAGAAATAACACAACTGCCTTATAAAAAAGGCTGAAGCTATAATTTTTGCTTTCTCTTTATTGTACACATCACTAAATTTTTGTTACTGCACAATAACATCTTGAATAAGAAGCCAATCAAGATTTAATCTGTAAATGTTATCAAGAATAACCTATTCTTTAACATTCACCGGTTAAATTTGTATTTACTTTCATGCTCAATAAGTTATTAATTTATAAATTAAAAACTACAGTCAATCCGCCATCATCGATATGTTACGTGCTATTAAAGATCGACCGCTTCCATATTGTTAACGTTAGGTTGACTAACGAAATGTGGTTGAACAAATCGAGGACTAGACTGCGCAAAGTAGGTATTACTATAGTTCTAAAGGTCTCCTGTGCCAGTCTTCGATGGAGATTGTGCAATAAAAGTAAAGATCAAAATAAATTTAATAATAAGAAAAATAATAACTAATCACTTAACAAAATATATGTTTAATTCAAACAACAATAATAATTACAAAGGTTTATTCCAAAACAAATAAAAAAGTGAGCAACGCTGTAAAAATAAATAACCAAATAATACAATAATCAAATGATCAAACGCGATTCATCAACTTTGTATGTCAAAGCAGTAATGTCTTGGATTTTGTTAGAATAAAGTTATCAATTTCGTTTCTGTCTCTCAGACCTTCGAGAGCTATCCTTCATATATAATTTGGTTATTATATAATATCTAAATTACAGATCGTAATTGCATACAAACTTCGCGGCTTTTAACTTACAAAGTCTGAATTTTTGAATTTTTACAAAAGGATGCTTTGAGATGGAATATAATAAATTTCTAATATGATGAAAGTAAATTATCATGTACGATACAAAATATGAATTTTTTTAAGAAAAATGCAATCATTCCTATGAATCAAAGGAACAACGTACAATACGAATGTTTGTATGAAATTTCTAATGATAATCACATTCTTGGATCGCAAAGAGAATTCTTATTGGGAAGGCAGTATTGATTTGATACTGCGAAGAATATGAATTTTTGCTGGATTTGGGTTGGACAATTTTTTTGTGACACCTTACTAATTAGGGACACCGATACGTAATCGCGGGATTTTCTCGTTGCATTTAAATCCGCTTTTCAAAGAAAAAAGCTATGATCGACAGTTTACTCGAAACCCTCCCCTTTATTATATGTATAACATAATGGGACTATGACATATCATAATAATGCAATTAATGTGAATGTCATATTATCGGTATCATATTAACGAGATTTTACTGTATCGATGCACAACATGTAAATTGCCTAAAATACAAAAATTAATTCAAATTTTTCCGAATTAATTATTCTTTTGATGGCGTTTTTTCATTGACAACTTTTTGTGACTTGGCGTTGTCTCTTTCGATGACTCCTAGTACGCATATGAAATTCCATAATAATAATGACAGAACAAGACGCATGTACCGTAAAGAGTTCTTTAAAGTACCCTAGATATTCTACATTCTACTTAAAAACAAGAGACTTGTAGCACATGTACTTACATTTTCATGCATTGGTTGCCGAGTAAATAAAATGATTTCCAAAAATTATCGTTATTTTACGTATAACGATAGTCATCAATGATGTATACTCAAGATGCTAGCTCGTTTATTGTTGGATCCATTTATTCAACTAAACTTTTCTTTACTAAAATAATGATACAAACAAAACCTTTTAAAGGAATCTATTTCTTGAGAGCCAACGAAATTGTGTAATCAAAAGTAATAAATTAGCTTATTATGATAGTACAAATATAGTTAATAGTTTCTTCAACGCAACCATTATTGTTATCTTCATTAAACTTATCATCATCATCATCATCATCATGACTATTTATAACTTCAAATAGTATCTTTGAGAATTTTACCTGATGGTTCTCTTATTAATAATTTTTAATCTATTTTTAAAAAACTCTGAATAATCTCTTCGCAATTAATATTCCTAGAATTTATTTGAGTTAAAATCTTTTATTAAACGATATTTTCAGTAGCTCGTATGTTCCGTTGAGTCTTTTTTTTAATGTAATCTTTTGCTCTTGTTCCAAGCTTCGTTTGTTTTAGTTTACGCGGCTCAATTGGTAAATATTGAATATGAAAATGTTTAGATTGTTTCAACTGCCAAATGCTACTATTCATACTATTAGACTTCCTCAAAACAAATGCTGAAAATTGCGACAACAATAATTTTTATTAGATGTGCATATTAAATGGAAAAAATTACCAGATATAAAAATTAACAACGAAATTTTTCAACAAAGAAAAGGGGAAAGAATGATATACTTTATTTCTTTAAATTTACAATATAGAATATCGGAATTTAAATATTCTTCAGCTCCAACGGTATAATACAAAGAGAGAAATGAGTTATAAGCTAACTTCATTTATGTAAACGCATGTATTCTATAACAATAAAACGAAGGAACTGTAAAATCAGGATCACAGAATTTGTTACATATTAACAAATTTGTTATCCGTAATTATGTTCCAAAATATATTATTCAAAATAGATGTACAATGCATTTATATTCTTAAGATCTAGAGACGGAGCTTATTTGTTATGCGTAGATAGAACATCTATAAAACAAAAAAATCTATAAATATAAAAGCTAGTCTCTTGTCTCATCTTTGTAAAACTAGTTTTTTGATTTCAATTTTCACAGATAAGTAAGCCATATCTTCTTCATATTATATAAAATCTCTCAAATGACAGTTACAAAGTTACCACTGAACGATAAAAATTGTGCTCGAGGAATTGATATCACCGGAAAAAAACATATTTTCTATGTGCAAAACGAAAAGTACCAATCATTAAGGAGAAGAAACCGAGGAAATAACAATAAAAATTCCTGTAAAGATTGCAATCAATCCAACGAATGCTTCGAGATCTTAGAGAAACGAATCGAACAGATATCAAATAAAGTTGCTCAGCTTGCAAATGTCACCAATACAAATCAAAGCTTGAGTTTAACCAAAAACGATTCAATCGTCTCTCCCGATTTTTCGCAAATGGTAAATTTCTAATTTTCTTTGCTATCATTTTATATTAGTAAGATAATGCTGATTTGATTTTTACTAAAATCTAATTGCTTGTTTTTAGGATACAGATGCCTTAATAAATATTGCAATAAATTTGAATTCGAACACATCTCAAGCCTATACGAATAACGAGTTTTTCCATTTGAGAAATTTAAGAAACGATGTGAATTCAAAATTTGTTATCTTATATTAACAGAACAGAACAGAACAGAACAGAACAGAACAGAACAGAACAGAACAGAACAGAACAGAACAGAACAGAACAGAATAAAACAGAATAAAACAGAATAGAAAAGAATAGAACAAAATAGAATAGAATTTATGACGGATTTTGTTAATGCATAAATCAAAAACCATTTAAATAAATTAAAGCTATCATTGAAACAAGTTTTTTTAGAAGATTTTCACCATACTCTTATATGTCAATCTGAGAAAACTGACCATACAAGTTGGTGCCATTCAATATTCTAATTTTTTTCTTCGCATCATTGTAGATGATTTTTTTGCGTTGAAGTGTTAAAAGAGATCATGAATTGCATAATGGGATTAAAATGATAATAATTGAATATAGTGACGAGAATATTAAATATATGTAGTTGACTAGTGATTTTATTAAATGGTACCTTTTTTATAATACGTTTTAAATTTCTTTTATCATGTCCAGACAAGATTTTTGGTCTGTTTTCTTAAATCGGTTGATTGTATCACGCACTGTTGGCTAATATTGAAGCATTGCCCTACATGATATACCGATTATTTGTTCAAAAAGTTCTGAGGACAATTCTTTTCCTGGTAAAGAGAAAAAAGAATGTATGAGGATTATTTTTATATACAAATAAAAAGACAAAAAAGAAAAAACGAACAATGTAAATTAGGAAAATCTAAATAATAATGTACGGTTATTTACTGTACAATAGGTCATTATGTTACACCTTCTTTTTATTAGGATCAACATTTGTATATATATTTTTATAATAAAGCTTGCGTTTAATGATTTTGATTTCGATATTAATTACCTCGTGTTTATTCATTTAAAAGTCATTTATCATTGTGATGCGCAGGTAGGTACAGTAGTTCACGGAACACGGAAAAAAATAGCTGCGACCAAAAGTTAAAGCGGAAATATATTCATTAAAATAATAAATATCTCTTAGTTCTATTTATAGAATTTTTTTAGTGTTCCATGTAGTGTTGCAAGCCAGCTTGCTGAGCTATTTTTTTTGCAAGCTGAGCCGGCTCACCTGAAATAATTTTTCAAAAAAGGAAAACTATACATTTTAGAATTTTAAGTTAAAAAAGTAAAACTCGTAATAATCGATAAAACTTGCGTTCAATCGTGTTAGCTATAATAACCAATTTCACACATGGCATTTTTGGAACTCAATATCTCGCGACTCAAAGACAAGAATCGAGTGTAAAATCACCATTCGACTGTTGAATCGAATGGTGGCCTTACACTCAATTCCCGCCACCGAGTCTCGAGCCCCAAAAATGCCATGCGAAATTACTCATTATTGCGGATTTCATTTTTGCTTAACACGATTGACGCTAGTTTCACCTGATCTAACCAAATACTAAGGCAACTTCAATAAACCGAATTGGTCTGAACTATTAATAAAAAATTTCGGAAAATTCGGTTTACCGAGATTTAATTAATAAATTCGGTTTATCGAGAGATTGTTCCTGAACCAAATCCGGTTTATCAAGGTTTTAATTAGTGTTTCGGTTTATCGAAATTCGGTTATCGAGGTTGACTTAGTATCATGAATTTTGAAAGCATTGTGGATCATGCGATCAATCCCTAAATCCGATTAATTCTTTTAATGATTCATAAGGTCAGGGTAAGGGTAATGGTGAAGAACAAGATTACCGTATTCTCCCGGAAATAAGCACCAATTGACTGCCATTTTTGACTCAAAATAGGGGTGATACTTATTTCTAGAATGTCTGCTGGAAATAAACAAACATCCGGGAATAAGCATCATAGGTGACGCTTATAAAAATTATCGTTATTATAATTATTTAATTAATAGTGGCATTTATTTACTTTTTGGAGGTGGTACTTCTTCTCAGGTGGTATTTATTTCCGGGAGAATACGGTATACGTAAAAGTTGTCATCCCGACAGTTTTAATGAGATTTAGGCATTGATTTTCTTGTTGTCGGATTCATTTTCTCGGGTTGATCAAAAATTTGCGCACTATTGGACATGGATCATACGATCCACAACGCTTCGAATTTGGAAATATTAAAATGACTGAGCCATCAAAATCATGGTGGCGGCTTAAAGGCTCAGTCGCTAAAGCCGAACACTAATTCCAAAGTTCCATGTGGTGTTTTCCCGATTTAGGGAATGCGATAGAGCGTTGTATACACGTGATCCATGTTCCTCTAAATTTTCTGCACACCTAATTAATGATTTATAAGGTCAGAATAAGGGTTAGGACTAAGGTTAGAGAACAAGATTATATGTAAAATTGCCTCACAACATTTTTATTGGTACTCCAAGTTAAAACATCTGTTTTTATATTTTTCCGCTTTTTCATATTTTTTTCATCTTTGAATCGGATTTGATTTGCCGGGTTGATCAAAAAAATTTGTGCATTCTTATTGGTGATTGAATAAAAAATTTGCGTACCTATTGGACATTAATCACGTGGGTCAACGCTTTAACGCATCCCCCAGGCAATAAGTACAATACACGCATGCACATGTGAAGGAAAATTTTTCACGTTACTAAATTAAGACGACTTCTTTACATGTATGTCTTCGGCATATCAAAGCGATTTGCAGCTTTTCCTACAAAGTCTATGTAAACGCCTATCGTTTCATTCCATGATTGATAGGATTTGAGCCGGGAGACTAAGATGGATAATCGAGTAATATGATCTCATTTCCACGAAACCAAACTTTCACTTTTATGGAACTTATCCTTATCTTCAAAAACAAATATTCGGACATCTACGTTCGTTTGTCATTGATTTAGTCATGCATAAACTATGACTACGCTACCATCGAACTTTACAGTTGGCATAATATGGGGATCATTGTGTTACTTCCAGCAATACTTTCGCGAATAATTGGTATTTACTTTGTCGGACCAAATTACTTGATGTCAATCGATCGACCATCCAAAAGTCGATGTTTTCGGTGCTTCTCTGGGTTTTTGCGTTAATTCTGGGGTACCCTTATGTGCAGCAAAAATGGATCGGCCAGCGTGATCCCATACCTTAGTAAACATCTTGAATGCCCTCTAAAGTAACTTAAAGTTCAAGCTATGTGTATTGAGATCCCGTAAACTCCTTTTCGAAATTTTCCTCGGATTTTTGATGTTTGGCATATGGAATCAGCATTTAAATCTCTTCAGGACATGAGTAATAACTCCTTTAATGTACTGTATGTATATAAAAAGAAGCAGACCACGCATTTGGAGGTATACAATCACAAAGTCTAACTTACTGTTTGTGCCTTATTTTATATAGGCTTCCTAATGCAATCGCAGACTAATAATAGAGACGAAGCATAATTTTTTACTATTGATTACAGCGCATTTGAGAAAATATTATATATTTCTTCTAGTATAAAAATAACTTTTTTTTCAAGTCCCTAAATAATTTAACCATTGGTCTATATGGCAATCCATCGATTTTATCATCATGTTGCTCATTATCGTCTGGAAAAGCAAGTAAGTAGTTTGCTCTGGCATTTAATCTTGAATTTCCGAGAAATATCAAATATTGTATATGCTTACAAGTACTGGATTTCTTGATAAATGTGTACTCTTCCAAACGAAAAATGGAACCATCATTGAATTTATCAAACTTTTGCAGAAATATCTGATGAGAAACCATTCGTCCAACAATTCATGATGGTTGTATAAATTTTAATTGCGGCGATAGTTATCATTCTACTCATTGTTTTTATAATAATAAATCATATAAAATAAAAGATAAAATTGGCTTTTTTTGTCGATATTTGAACGTTGGAATATCGTAAATGAATGCTACCATCTTCGCTCGAACTGCATTATGACGGTATCCACACCCCTTTCATGTTTAATATGAGTAGCTGTTCTAAATTGTGATACGCATGCACCGAATCCATGCACGTGTGACATATTACCAGCATATAATGATAAAACATTTGATATAGCGATAGAGAAACATTCGTTCATCTGCTTTTAATGCACAAAGCCACATCCCCATTTGCTTCACTATTGCTTGAATCCGTACTAATGGTATAATTTCCGCTGGTGCATTCACTATCTGGCGCATTCTGCTTATACCAATGATAATAATGACCTCAGAAAAAATTGATGGTTGTAACGAACTCATAAATCACATTTTTTTATTCGCCATTTTTATTCTAATTTCCTTCTTCTACAAAATTACTATGTATTCGTTTAATGCTGAATATGAACAAATGAACTATTCAGACCAAGACCCCTTTTTTATTTTTATCAGTTCCGTGTTCTCTTACAATTTGACACTTCCCTCTTGTTCATTAATCGTGATAGGTGCTGAGAGGCAAAATAAACTTGTGATACCAATCTTTTTCTCAAGAACATATAGCGATTGCATATTAAAGTATGTGTAAGTTTGTTCATGCTTTATTATCGTATATACGAGTTATTGTCGTATTCCTCGCAATTATTGATATCTTGGTTATTAATATCCATTACTATTTGAATAGGATTTTCGAACGAGATCTTTTTACACACAGTATAATTGAGTGACTCCCATACAAAATACACACCTTTCTTTTTTTATTAAATTTTATTCGTGAATTTAAGAGACCGTGTAGTTTCCCATGACGTTTTACAGCAATTGAATTTGCAATTCACGTGTATATAAAAAGTGCCATGCTATTTTTTGATAAATCACCTTTTATGGTCAATCAAATATATAGAAAACGGTTAGTAATGAGTAGGAGAAGCGTATATTTTGTTCATCTTTTTACATGAGAAAGGAAGGCAATAAGGAATGA